TGTAGAGGTCTGGGTGGGCCCTCTACAGTTCCCCATATTAAGGAGTCTCTAAGGACCCATCACCCAAGTTTTTTGTTCCTTTCTGAAACAAAAAAATAAAAAAAAAAATCACACTAACTGTAGTAAGGAAATTGGGATTTGAAGATAGATACTATTTGGTTCAACCTTGTGGTACTAGGGGGGACTCCTGTTACTCTGGTCACAGGAGGTGGAGGTGCTTAGAATGTATGGAGAGTCTTTCTATATAGCTGTAAAATTCAAGGAGAGACTCAAGTGTGAACCTGCCTGGGTGGTTTTTGTCTATCTGAACCCCAACAAAGCAGACAGAGAGATTCAATTAAGGCACCTACTATCAGAAAAAAGAAAATGGGGGGGATGTTTGGCTAATAGCTGGAGATTGGAATGACTTGTGCAGATATGAAGATAAAAAAGGGGAAAGGCTAGATCTGGAGAGTTGCTGGGGATTTAACTATTTTTTGTCTCAAATAGGGATTCAAGAGATTACTATAAGGGGAGAAGCTTTCACTTGGGCTATGCCAATAATAGGGAGGGAGAGGGATATGTTCAGGAATCTTTGGACAGGGTGTTTGTAACTCTCGAATGGAATGCTGCTTATCCACAGACCACTGCTACCAGCTACTTTAAGGGTGCCTCTGATTACTACATGGTGGCACCTAACATATTCCTACCCTGGTAATTCAGGTAGCTGATTCCCTTGTCCAGACAGTCTAGAATCTACGATTTCTTTTCTTTCTCGAGTTACCTAGGGTCTATTCTGCTAGCCAGCTTCTCCAACAATTAATGCTCAACTGGTTTGTAATTTCCCTAGCTCATCTTCGGTGCCATTGCTGGAGTGATGGGCACATGCTTTTCAGTATTGATTCGTATGGAATTAGCACGACCCGGCGATCAAATTCTTGGTGGGAATCATCAACTTTATAATGTATTAATAACGGCTCACGCCTTTTTAATGATCTTTTTTATGGTTATGCCGGCGATGATAGGTGGATCTGGTAATTGGTCTGTTCCGATTCTGATAGGTGATTTTATTGCGGTCGACTTTGCCAGGTCGACACACCTATGTTCATTATCAAAGAAAAGATCAACAGGACAAGTGAGCCTCTACTCCAATGGAACAAGTATTTTAAATCAAAGAATAAATCTCATATTGAAACACTGACCTTGAAATTGCAGGAGATGAGGAAAGTGGGGGGAGATAGAAACTGAAAGGTGTGGGACAGGTTACAGAAGGAGCTGGACGAGGCAAATGTGTCAGAGGAGATATATTGGCAACAGAAAGCTAGGACTTTATGGTTTAAGAAAGGGGATAGGAATACAAAATTCTTTCATGCATATGTAGCACAGAGGAGGAAGCAGAATGCTATAGAGAGACTCTTGACAGACCAACAAATGATGGTGGAGGATCAGACAGCTATTGAAAGAGTTATCTCTGACTATTATGCAAAATTGTTTACATCTCAGGGTTCCAAAGATGACCATCTGTTACTCCCTTTGATTGAGAAAACCATCTCAGAGATGAGAATAAGGTGCTTACTGCCCCGGTGGAGGACGAAACCATAAAGGAAGTATTATTCAGCATCCACCCAGACAAAGCACCTGAAGAAGACGATATGATAGGTTTATTCTATCAACATTTTTGGCCAATTTTGAGTAAGGATTTATGTGCTGCAGTGGTGAGTTTTTTTTAGTCTGGGCAGATTTTGAAATATTGGAAACATACTTTAATCACTCTTGTTCCAAAATGTCCAAAACCAGTTTCAATAACTCAATATAGACCTATCAGTCTGTGTGCTGTGTTTTACAAAATTATTTCCAAGATCTTGGCTATGAGACTGAGGAAATGCTTACACCTTTGCATTTATGAAAATCAAACAGCTTTTATTCCAGGCAGGAATTTAATGGACAATGTGATTATTGGTCACGAGGTGTTTCATTTCCTAAATAGACACATGACTAGTAGAAATTATTTCATGGCTTTGAAACTGGATATGGTCAAAGCATACGACAGAGTGGAGTGGAAATCTATTCAATTAACTATGATTAAAATGGGATGTCGTCCTCAATTTGTAAAGTGGATCATGGCGTGCATATCATTTCCCTCTTTCTCATTTAATATTAATGGAAGAACTACTGGTTTGGTGTATGCCCAGAGAGAAATAAGACAAGGGGATCCATTATCCCCTTACTTATTTCTCATTATATCTGAACTGTTATCTGCAAAGATTCAAGATGAAGTAGATAAGGGTTTTTAAAAAGGAATCAGATTGTCAAGGGATGGCCCCACATTGACACACTTACTCTTTGCTGATGATACACTACTGTTTTGTAGAGTGGGGGAGCAGCAGATTGAGAAGATTCTTCACATTCTACAAATGTATCAGAACTTTACAGGTCAACAAACTTAGCCAAGTCTTCAATATTTTTCAGCAAAAACACACCGGTGGAGGTCCAGGAGAGGGTGTGCAGGCTCATGGAAGGGATCAAAGTTCATTCTTCCACTAGATACTTGGGACTTCTTATGGGAATAGGTAGATCCAAGAGAGATGCTTTTGACTATATCATCTCAGTGCTGAAGAACAGAATTTTTAGCTGGAAGAACAAGTGGCTCTCCACCGCAGGTAAGGAAACATTGATTAAATCTGTTATTAATGCATTACTTGTGTATGCAATGTCTTGGTTTCTATTACCTGAGGGGCTGTGCAAAGGAATTTCAAAGATTTGTAGCCAATTCTGGTGGAATAAAGGAGCAGAGGAGAGAAGAGGGTACCATTGGGTAGCCTGGTACAAGCTAACTCTAGCCAAAAAGCATGGAGGCCTGGGATTTCAAGATGTGCTATTGTTCAATAATGCATTAATTGCTAAGCAATTGTGGAGAGTGGTGTCTGAACCACAAGCTCTGGTAAGCAGAATGCTCAAAGAAAAATATTTTCCTAATTCTACCATTTTTTATGCACACAGGAAGCAAAGCTCCTCGTAGTTATGGAATAGCTGGTTGGCGGTCCTAAAGTCATGTAGTCAGTGGATGCAATTGGAGGTGAAGAATGGCAGAAGTATTCAAGTGTGTAACCAGCAGTGGATTCCAAATCATATAGGAAGGCCAGTATAATTGTTGCCAGGAAGGGATAGAGATATTGTGTGGGTTAAAGACCTGATATCTAGTGATGGCCTTAGCTGGGATGAAAGGAAGTTGGAGAGGACATTCCCTGAAGACATCTGTAAACAGATCATGAGCATCAAGTCCCTAAATCCTCAACAGAATGATATATGGAGGTGGACACTACAGAAAAAAGGTACCTTTTCTGTTCAATCTACTTGTTCAAAATTAAAAACAGAGAAGTAATTGAAAATGGATAAACATCAGGGAAGTACAGATTTAGAAAGGGACATAAAGGTAAGAGAAAGAAGCTGTAAATTGAATATAATGGAGAAAATTAAACACTTTCTTTGGAAGTGCTGGGAAGGAGTTTTACATGTAAGTGTAAAATTAAGGGAAAGAGGTCTTGAAGTGGATTGTGTGTGCAAACTTTGTAGTCAAGAGGAAGAAACAGCTGAACACATTTTCTTCTACTGTGAGTATGCTCAACAAGTTTAGAAATTGACCCCAGTTAGATGGGAGCAACCTAACAGATCAGAATCTTTTAAAAACTGGTGGTGGAATATCTGTCAATTAGATAAAGGTGACATCTTTGAAGCCTGGATTTAACTATCTACATATATTCTATGGTGGCTTTGGAAATCACGGAATTTGTGGCTGTTTGAGAAAGTGAGGAGGCTTGCACATCTAGTAGTAAGAGCTTCAATGGATGACTAGAACAAATTTCTGGCTACTAGAGTGGTTCAGGTCTCTATCAGTTAAAGTTTTGGGATACAAACTAGGATCTTGGATCAGTGGTTGGTGCCCCTTATTTGTTATTTTTGTATTTTTTTGAAGGATGAAGGTTGGTGATGCTTCAGCTGCTTTAACCTTTTAGTATTAAAATGTTTGGTGATTTCATTATGTTTATAGTTTGATTTGGTTTCTAGACCACCGGAGTGTGGCTCTCTCATGTTTCGGCTTTAGGATGTTATGTTTGTAATCGAACGATGTATTTATTTGGTTTATGAATGAGGAATTCTATCGTTTGAAAAAAAATGGTAATAATATTTCTCTCTCCCCTCTCCATTGGTTGAGTAAAATGTGAATGAGAATGTGGATCAACCATATTCTTCTTTACATTGTAGAAATTAATTATGTACACCTCATCACTACATTTGTAATTACATTGTGCATTGGATGATTAAGAGTAGATAAATTGCTAAATATGTTAATGTAGAGTGTAATTTACTACAACTACATTTACACATTGGAGATACTCTAAGTCGGGCGGTTGTGAAGAAAAATAAAAGAACATCGATTTGAGATTTCTATCTCTTCGTCCCGTTCGTCACGATGCGCTACATCAGAATTACTGTTAGAATCGTTCGAACGGAGTCTATATTGAATTGGAATATCCCTTAAAATATATTAATGTAGGATTTTACGTTGGAATATGACACGGTGTTTTAGCGGTCACTTTCCCCATTTTGGAGGAAAGATACTTACACTGAATCAAACTACATTGTGATCCCACTTGATTCCTATTTATTTCTTTCTTTGGGCCCACCAGTAAATCTATTTACCTTGATATATGTTGCATCATTACAAAATAGATTCAGTTAGTTTTTTTTTATCTACTTTTGCATTATTCATCTCCTTTTATTAGTTATTATCATAAAATGCTTGTAATAAGTCAATTCCACTAAGATGAAGTAGCCTGAGTAGCTAAATTTATGTAAAAACAAATTGCTTGAACACCATTTTCATATTTATGAACAGTTTATAAATGAAAGAACTATGTCCCAATTGACAAGTAGAGGTAAAATGATTATAACACTCATAAACCGATAACACAATAGGCTTATTTTCTATCAAATAGGCAAAGTTGTAGGCAGATTTGAGGTCATTCTTGGCCAACAACAACCCAGTCCATGAACTTGGGCAAAGCAAACTTTAGTACTGTGCTCGATAAAAGAAGCGCAGGGTGTTTAAACCGTAATGCCGACAGGTTCTGCACCGAATATAAAGAATTAATGGAGAGAAGAATGTTTCTAGTAATTGGTACGAATAATTATTGCACCCTGCAAGTAAAAAGCAAAAACAAAAAGTTGAAGACTTACAAAGACAGGAAGAGGACCAATGTTGACGTATGTTTGATAAAAGATGGTCATAATAGAAGCCATTCTACATATCGTATGCACCGTCCTCACTCTGAACATTCTCTTCTTTTCGAATCTGAATATAGCAAATGAATTTAATTTATACAATACAGCCTCAGAGAGAGAGAGAGAGAGAGAGAGAGTGCATGCATATTATTATTATTTTATTTATTTTATTTTATTTTATTTTTAGGAGCAAGAGTAAATAATGAATACCTTTTGAACGCTTGTGCTATATCATCAGACGAAATTCCGGAAATAGGGTTTGATTCGACAAGTTTTCGCAGCTCGAGCATGAGCCAGTAACAATCCTGCACGTTTTTCTTGTTAGTCGATTTTATTTTTAAGTAAATTATACTATTATGCAGTTTCAGTGCTAACACACTTCATTTTCATATCATATCACCGGTCACGACGATTTAAAAAAAAAATGCATAAATATTATAGACGCGCACACACACCTCGATTGCCATGCTACCTCCTTGGCCAAGATTAGGTAGCATTGCATGAGCGGCGTCGCCTATCAATACCACGCGCTCCTTTCCCCACGTCTTTAACATGTCTATATCGTGTATGGGTCTCCTTATGATCATCTTCTCTTCCGTGTTCACCAAAATCTCTATCACTTCATCGCACCATTTCCCAAAATCTTCTAATAGCTTCTTCTTGTTCCCTTAAGCATATATATAACAATACCCGAAAATATTTTTAAACTAGAAATCACATAAAATAATAGGTATTTTCAAATGAGAACAGTTACACAAGTTACATGATAATTTCTTTTTGGCACGGAAAAAGAAGGTAGGGTAATGATATATACCATTGGATGGAGCAAGAGAATCGCGTGCCTCTTTGCCGAATGCGTACCACTGCATACGCCCGTTACCAATATCTAATGCGACAAAGTATTTGTTATGTCCCACGAATATCTTGTACCTGAGTTCATACAAAGAATAATCATATATAAAAGTTGTGATCTTACATATTATACTACGATGAACAATCGAGCACATTATTTCATGCGTAACTATGAGAGGTTTGTTTTCTTATCGTACCCAAAAGGAGGGAGATAGTCAGGATGGAAATCGGCAACGCCAGTGTAGCATATAAAGTTCGAGTACTTTGGGTCTTTATGACCAAATAGTCTTGAGCGCACCTGTGTAAATGATCAAGTTGTGTTTGGTTTGAAGTTTCACAGTCAAAGTTATGGTATGAAAGGGAAGTTCAAAGTTATGAAAATGCGACAAACCAGCGATCTCATGCCATCTGCCCCGATCAATAGATCGCCTTGGTGCTCTTGCCCATTTTCAAGAATCACTGTCACCTATACAATATATATGTATGAGAAAGAGTGAGAGAACGAGAGAGAGAGAGAGAGAGAGAGAGAGAAAGAGAGAGAGAGAGAGACCTTGTTGGGATGATTGACAAAGTCGACAACTTTAGAGTTGTTGATAACTAAGTGAGGGCCAAGTGCATGGAGAAGGAGCCTTTGCAATTCCATTCTGCATATTATCTGAGTGACTGGAATACCCTTCTTTAGAGCTGGGGTTAGAAAATCAAACTTTGTGAACCTGCCATTCATCATGCACATTAATTACACCACTCTTTTTCATTAATATTTTGTATGTATATAAAAAGTAACAANNAAAAAAAAAAAAAAAAAAAATTATAATTTATTGGGTTTTAATTAATGATGAAGTTGTCTTTTACTTATAACTTGTATTTTCTCTTTAATTATAAGTTGTACCTTTATTTCTTTTGGATTTTATCTTAATGTCTTTTTTTTTTAACCATAAAATGTATAAAAATGAAATTATTTTTTTACTACCATAACCAAAAGAATGGTAAAACTTAGAAACAATATAACTTTTATTTGAAAATTACAATTAAAGTAAAATGAAGAAGTAAAAAATTAAACGCCACTTTGTGTTTGAATAAGAGAGAGATCCACCAAACAGGGCCGACCTTGGGGTAGGGCGGGCCGGGCGACAGGTCAGGGTCCCCTGTTACTCAAGGGCCCACTTTTATATATATATAATATATATATAATACTACCTCCTATTCAAAATAAATGTCATTTTGACTTTTTTGATTCATCCATTTTGCTATGTATCTAGACATATTTTTATGTCTAGATACATAGCAAAATGGATGAATCAAAAAAGTCAAAACGACATTTAATTTGAATAGGAGGT